ATAATATTTAGGGATTGAGTGATCTTTTTTTAAATCTATTTGAATTGAAATGAATTATTCTACAGTTTTTTCATGATTCTCTGAGTCTAACTAATCCTTCATTTTTGACTATTCTTTATATTGCTTTAGATTGAATATTGATTCTTTTGAAAAAAGTTTTCGCGGGCGAATATTGACTCTGTCAATTTAGATTTCATTTCTAGGACGAGTTTGTGACATCTTATAGCTAGTATCTAGAAATAAAATAATTTAACATTGGTTTATTCCGCCATCCCAGCCAGTGAATGTTTAAGATTTTTTTTTATTTCATCTTGAATTGAATTGAATCTTTTGTATTCTCATAAGTTCCGTCGTCCCCATCACTTCTTACTTAATGGTTAGGTCCTAATTTTACAATGGAGCTCAAATAGTAATAATATATGAATAATTTAAGTCTTTAGCCATTTTTCTTAGTCTTTATTGGCTTTAAGCTCTTGACTTTATTTTTTTATTTTATCTCTTCTATATTTAATATCTAATTGAATATTTATATATAGATTATAGATTTCTATAATAAGAGTATATTGTTTTTTATTATTGAATATTCTTAGATTTCTTATTCTATTTTAAATACTTTAATATGCAGAATTTAAGTATTAATGCTTCATTACATTGCCTGTTTTGTTAGACCCTACATATTGGAATTTTCAATCATTGAGCTTCTTTTTCTCCCTTTCTCTCTCCCTTCCAATTATCCACATCTTTTTTATATTTTGCTTCGCAACTTCAATAATATTTGAATACTATTTTTCGTTTATGCAAATAAATGGCAGTTGCTACAACGATATGAGCGGTAATCATATCGTGACTGGTTATTTAGATCCAGATAATGCGAAATTGATGAGTTAATTATTAGGTAATTTCTTCTCGAGTTAGTAGTTGTTACTTTGGGTTTGGTTTCATGCTAACCTTAAAAAATAAACGAGTCGCACACTAAGCATAGCAATGATATTTTTATTAAAAATAAATAAAATTTTTATTCAACCTTATAGAATTCATTATTATCAATTAGAACTGTTCCTGCTCATTACACAAAATAATTTGTGAAATGGCCGCTCGGTATTACAGGTAAAAAGAATGAATAAAATTTTATTGAGCTTGATCAAAAAAATATCCAAATTTTTATGCCTAAAACCCCGTAGATAGTTCGAACTGAATAACAACAATAATCAATTTTAGCTTGAATAGTTTGGCGGGGAATTCTTCCTTCTCTTATCCATTCCACACGTGCAATTTCCTTTCCGTCAAGGCGTCCCGCAATTTGTACTTGAATTCCTTTTGTATCTGCTTGTTCAGCTAATTCAATAGCTTTTTTCATTGCTTTTCGAAAGGAAACTCTATTCTTTAATTGTCCAGCTATAAATTCGGCAAGAATATTAGGATTTCCATACGGTTTTTCAATTTTTGTGATAGCAATATTAAGTTTTCGGTTTACGAAATTTAATTTTTTTTGTAGAGCTTTTTGTAATTCTTCAACTCCCTGCGGGCTATTTTCAATGAATACTTTGGGAAATCCAATATAGATTATGACTTGGATTAGATCGAGTCTTTTTTTAATACATATACCTGCAATTCCCCTCGGTACCCGAGGGTTTGATTCTATTTTTTTGTACATAATTTTTTATAAAAGCTCTTATCTTTTGATCTTCTTGCAGATTTTCAGCATACGTTTTTGGTTGCGAAAACCAAAGTGAATAATGGGCCTGGTTTGTACCAAGTCTGAAACCAAGTGGATTTATTTTTTGTCCCATAAATACCTCCTTTTCTGGATATCAGAATATGCTTTAGTTCTAGAATTTTTTTTCGCTTGTGGTTTTTTTAGCAAACCGAGCTCCACGGATTCAGAATCATTGAATGAAATATCTTTTAGTACAATAGTGATATGGCAGGTCGGTCTTTTTATTGGATAACTACGCCCGCGAGCCCGAGGTTTTAATTTCTTTCCAGCAGTCCCCTCATTAACTTCAGCTTGACTAATAACTAAATTTGCTTTATTTGAAGCCATAGTGTAACTAGCATTTGATGCGGCTGAATAAACCAATTTTAAAATTTGATAACTGGCACGATAGGGCATGAGTTCTAATATAATAAGTGTTTCCTCATAGGAACGCCCACGAATTTGGTCAATAACTCTTCGTGCTTTATTAGCCGACATAGCTATACGTCGACCTAAAACGTATACTTCTGGGGTTTTTTTATTTAGCATCTGGTACATAAAATTTGCCTCCTACTAATGACTTATAAGCATCAAAATATTTTTTAGTATTCACATTACCGATGAGATTTCTTATCATTTTTTGCATGTCCTCGAAAATTTAAAGTAGTTGCAAATTCTCCCAATTTGTGTCCGACCATATCATCCATTATATAAATAGGGAGATGCTCTTTCCCATTATGAATGGCAATAGTATGACCAATCATTATTGGAATAATAGTAGATCCCCGGGACCAAGTTATTATTATTTCTTTTTCTCCCTTTGTGTTAAGTTTCTCAATTTTTTTTAATAATTTATGAGCTACAAAGGGATTTTTTTTTAGTGAACGTGCCACAGTTTACTCCTATAAATTTTATTATTCTTTTATTTTTTTATTTTTCATATAATTGAATGAATAAATTTAATTTGTTCTATTATATTAATTTTTATACTATATATATTACATTAAGTATATTCACTCTATTAACTATATTATACTATTATATTAACTGCGGTGACGAAGAATGAGCTTCTCACTATATTTATTCCTCTTTCTAGTTTTTCTTCCAAGTGCGGGATAACCCCAAGGGGTTGTAGGTTTTTTTCTCCCAATAGGAGCTCTACCCTCACCGCCCCCGTGTGGATGGTCTACGGGGTTCATAACTACTCCTCTGACTACAGGACGCTTACCTAGCCATCGTTTAGCTCCAGCTCTACCCAAATTTTTTTGGTTGAACCCAACATTCCCGACTTGTCCTATTGTTGCGGAGCAGTTTTGGGATATAAAACGGACCTCGCCAGAAGGTAATTTTAATGTAGCTGATTTACCCTCTTTTGCAATCAGTTTCGCCATTGCACCCGCTGCTCGAGCTAATTGTCCACCCCTTCCACGTGTAATTTCTAGGTTATGTATAGTCGTGCCTAAGGGGATTTCGGTCAAAGGTAGGGCATTTCCAATTTTGATTGAAACATTTGTACCAGAAACAATGGTATCTCCAATTTGAGCCCCTCTCGGATGTAAAATATACTTCTTCTCACCAGTCTTATAATGTATTAGACAAATGTTTGCATTTCTATTAGGGTCATATTCTATGGTTATGATTCTACCATATAGGTCTTTTTCATTCCGTCGAAAGTCTATTTTACGGTATAGGCGCTTATGACCCCCCCCCCTATGCCTTGCTGTAATGATTCCTCTAGCATTACGACCTTTACCACAATGATGCTTTCCAGAGAGCAAATTTTTTCTTCGAGCAAATTTTGGGCTGTTTACGGTTTCGCTCGGGTTATAAGTTTTGTATAATTGTATTCCCATGATATAAATGATTTTTATTTTGGATTTAAAGTTTATTTGTTTGGAGGTGTAAGCCAATGTCTAATGATCTGCGGTAGCCATTGCATTATATGTCCTCTAATAGGGAGGGCCTACCATTATGTGACCCTTTGCCAGAAGCGTAGCACTACTCAAAGTTTATGACGTGGATTTCAAAAAAAAGTCTATTTATTATTTTTTAATAACTAAATTCTTTTTTTTAATATTATATCTTTTATTCCATCCCGAATTTTAATTCATTCCGTATTATTTTAAGTTGAAATAAAAATGTTAATTTTGAGTGTTGATAGAATCTATCTATATCTCTAATATAGAGATAGATTCTCTATATGTATCGGTATCCTAGAATTATCTATTATGATATATGAAATGGAAATAGTCAACATGAAATCTATCTAGGAACATATATCTTCTATGATATTTGATATGGACAAATCTATCTAGGAGCATATATCTTATATGATATTTAATATGGATTATGAAGGAAATGCTCAAAGTAGATCTATGCTAATATATATCCTAAAATATAACAAAAATATCATAAAAAGAAGAATTGGAGGGTCAATGAGATTTTGTGTAAATAACTAATAGTGCTAATAGTGTGCATCCAGTAGGAATTGAACCTACGACTTCGCCAATTATGAGTTGGGCGCTTTAACCACTTAGCTATGGATGCTTAAACGAGACCATCATCTATAAAAATTGAAAATTAAAATATAATAATTATGGTAATTATGAATCTTGGAATTGCAAATAAAAAAAAATGATATTTTATTTTATATGATAGGATATGATAGGAATAGAGAATCTAATATTCAATATCGAATTACAGCAAAAAATATTACATAAAAAAATGTCGTTTAAATAAAGAATTTCGGAAATCTGAAATACTAAACAAAGACTCTATTTATCATTTCTATTTTTACATTAAATAGTCAATAGTCAATTATATAAAACAAGTACTTAAAATTTTTGCATAAAATCTTATGGAGGTATGAGATGGAACCTAAGCAAAACAAGTTCTGGATTCTAGAATTACGAGAGATACTGAGAGAGATTAAAAAATCAAAATATTTTTTAGATTCATGGACCCAATTGAATTCAATCGGATCTTCCATTCATATTTTAGTCTCCCAAGAACGGTTTTTAAAAACTGTTTGACCCACAAATTTGGAGTCTTGTACTTTCACCTAATTTGCAGGGTTCAAAAAGCAATCGATCGGTCAAGATTAAGGGAGTTTTACTAGTTTTCGTTGGCGTTGTTATCTTTATTTATCGTATTAGCAATCAAAATATGGTTGAAAGAAAAAATCTCTATTTAAAAAGACTTTTTCCTATACCGATGAATTGCAGTGAATCCATAACTGATCAAGATAGTGGTTATTCTACTCTAAATCGATTGAGTATTTTACTCCTTTCTTTTCCAAAAGGCAAAAATCAAATTGATATTGATTTACTGAATACGAACTATAATACTCGGGTTTTGCCAATAAAAAAAAAACCTAACATGCCTCAATCAAAGTCAGATTCGACGCAGGGGAAAAACTTTATTAGAGAAATTATTAGACGAACTAGAACGGAATTTAGAGAAATTCCAATGAAACTTCTTGGTTTAAATCTGGTATTATTAAAAGATAAAAAATCGCTGGAGTTTCCTTATGATTCCACAAGATCTAGTTCCTTACAAGTAAAAGATTCCGGCCAACCGAAAGGATCCTTGGATAGAAATTTTTTGGATTCCATTAGAAATGAGGATTCCGAATATTCCAAATTAATGAATAAAAGAAAATTTAAACAACGAAAACAAAGATCAACTTCTTGGGATCCTTACTTTCTTAAAACCGAACAAAAAGAGATCAAAGGCCGTAAACCCACGCTAAGCCTTCCGTTTCCGAAAGAAAGGGAACAATCTCGGGGCAATGCCCCGAGGTCCCTTTATTCATTTTACTCTGATAGATGGTCAGAACTTTATATGGGATCAACTCCTATTGCTAAGTCCAATATGGATCCGAAATTTAGGAATAAATCTCTTTCTTTTGTCCGGCAAGCGGAAAAGAAAGAAATAGTTAATCTATTTAGAATACTTACGTATTTAAAAAGGACTGTTTTAATTAAGTCTATTTCTTTGGATCCCGAAATAGAAAATTCGAAGAATACTGGATTTCTTAAAAAAACTCCATTATTTTCTTTTGTTAACCGATTCCTTGAAAGTAAACAAGGAAGCTATGTGCTACAACATAATTGGAAATCAGAAAAAAAATTACAAAAAAGTCCAGGTTTATTTATTCTGACAATAAGCGAGCCGGATCCAGTCTATAATCAGGGATTTACTTTTTTTGTTAATATAGATTCATATGAATTGCATAAAATCAAATTATTGAATAAAATATTCAATACTAGGACTGAATCAAAAAATCAATCTTTGTTGGCTCTTTCGCCTATTTTTTTTTCGTTATAAGGAGAATAACTCTTTTTTTCAGCGAACGGGCCAAAACTGCGTATGGATTGAAGCAGTGAATCTATATAGATATAGATTCATTCACAATATGATTCAAATGCAATCTAGTACCTATGTGTACATAAGAAATCTATTAAATAAATTTGTTTTCATAAATATATCCAATCACAATTTCAAATATCGAATTAGGAGAATTCAAGGGGATCAAAAAGAAACGGGTCTTCTCAATCATCTAACTCATATGACATATAAAATAAAACAGGGTCATCCATATAGATCCAAATGGTCAAATGGGGCAAAGAGTTTACAAGAAAATTCAAAACATTTTCTTTATGAGCAGAAAAGACTTTTTGAAATGTATGTTCAAGTCCGAAAGGGCCATTTGCAAATGATGTTTGAGAAAGTTTATAAATTATGTATTTATGTTATTGATAAAATAACTGAGAAATGGATTTATTGGTCTAAGGTTCGCAGGGAAGTAGAAATCAAAGTAAAAAAAAATGTGTATAAGTTAGTTCCTTTAGTTTTTACCAAGTTGTCCAAATCAGTACGTTTCTTCTTTTTTCCCCAGTCACTTCGTTTTTTTTTTTACGAAGGGATTTCACTGTATGATCAAGTTGCTTTTCTTTTTGTCTAATTCACTTGGTTTTTCCTGTGTAAGTTTTGGTACTAGTCCTGTTCAGAGGTCCGAAATCTATATCTATCAATTACAAGGACCGAACGGTCAACTTTGTAATCAGTTGTTGGAATCAATAGGGTTTAAAATGATTTATTTAAAAAAATTAAACCCCTTTTTGTTGGAAGAGTCTGGTACGTCGAACTTTGTTATCAATGAAACAAAAAGATCACCCTTTTTGTTTCATAATATAGCAAAAGAGAGGATTGATGCATTGCTTACTAGACCAAAATATTTTGATGAAAAGGCTAATGGGTTTCATCCCATGAACCTATTTGAAAGAAGTTCACTTATATCCGCTTTTTATAAAGCAAATAGACTTCGCTTCTTTAATATTCGCCCTAACTCTAACTTTTGGTTAGATTGTAAGAGAAGATTTCCATTTTCTGTGGAAAGGACTCGGAATACTAATTCGTATTTTCTCTATGAGCAATTTCTAAATAGCTTGTTCCTTGGGAATCAAAAAGTTTCTTTAGGTGGTGGGAAAAAAAGACAGGTTTTTGGGGATAGAGCTACTATTTCACTAATTGATTCCTTATTTAAGGATTTTGCCAAAAATGGTGACCCACGGTATAACTTTGAGAATTTTTTTAATTCTGTAAGGGAATCCGATCCAGTCATGCCTAATTTGATTCTAAATACTTTTGGAACATCTTCTACAGAGGAAGAAATAGTCAATTTGGAAACAACTTATTGTCAACCGTTTTCAGATCTAAATAGAAATCTATATGATTCAGAAGAAAATCACTTTCAAGAATATCCTAATTTTAATTTAAATATGGATATGGATTTGGTTGACATTCCCTGTTCTTATAAATATTTTTCATTTCAAAACAAAAAAAATCGAAAAAAAGGCGCTGTGTTTCAGAAAAGACGGATGGCAACAACTTTTCATAGAGAGAATTTTTTTTCCATTTTATCAGAAAAATTAAATCTTTTCCAAATGAATTTGCCAAACTTCTTTACTTTGACAGGGTACAAATATCTCTATTCTCTATTGATAGATATAGTTTCAATATTAAATAGTAGGATATCTATTTATTGGGAGATTTTGTATTTATTATGGCAAATTTTTAAGATGAAATTGTTGCCCTTTTTTATAACAAGTGAAATCTCAAGTAAGTGGTTACATAACCGTCTTCTAGCTAATGAAAGGTTGCAACGAAATACTAAAACATCAACACATTTTAGATCACCAAGTGGTTGGGCTTTTTTCGTTTCAACGCTTTTCCTTCTTATTGGTGTTGGTTATCTTGTTATTATAAATCTTGTCTTTGTTTCTCGATCTTTGAGGGAGTTAGATATCAAGTTTAAAAGATTAAAACCTTTTCTAATTCCCTCATATCTAATTGAGTTTCAAAAACTTGTAGATAAATATCCTATGTGTGAATCAAATGGGTTTTGGTTAAATAATATATTTATATTTGGCTTTAACCAATTCGTACGTTTGTTAGAAGGAATCCAAGGTTTTGTTTTCGGTCTCAACAAGATTCATCTTACTTTGAAAGTGAAACCAAGACGTTTGACGAAGAAATCTTTCAATATCCTTGAACAGATAACTGGAATTGCTGTTTCTATAAATAGAAATATGCAATATATCAGTTCTATCAGTCCTACAAGTAAAGAGCTCTATTCATTGATAAGAAAAAGAGAAAACGTGAAGGCGAATTGGATTGATGATCAAATAGAATCCTGGATCGTAAACAGCGATTCAATTCATGAGGAAGAAAGACAATTTTTGGTTCAGCTAGCCACTTTAACAACAGAAAAAAGAATTCCATCGAGTCTGACTGACAGGGATCATTTCTTAAAGAATGACTTAGGTTATCCAATGATTGACCAACCGGGAGCAATTTATTTACGATACTTAATTGACATTCATCAAAAGGATCTAATGAACTATGAGTTTAATAGATCTTTTTTAGCAGAAAGACGCATATTACTTGCTCATTCTCAGACAATGACTTACCCACAAACTTCGTATGCTCATTTAGCATGTCGTGGAAAGCCTTTTTCTCTCCGCTTAGACTTATCCCCCTCTAGAGGTATTTTAGTTCTCGGTTCTATAGGAACTGGACGATCCTATTTGGTCAAATACCTAGCAACAAACTCCTATATGCCTTTCATTACGGTATTTGTGAATAAGTTGCGAGATAAGAGTCGTAAATTTATGACTGATTTCTATATTGATAATAGTATCAATATTAATGCTAGTGACGATATCAATCTGACTAAGAGCGACAATATTGATGACGATAAGAATTTTGACCTTGCTACCGAGCTGGAAATCCTAACTAGGATGAATGCGCTAACTATGGATAAGGAGATGAAGGCTGAAATAGACCGATTATCTATTACCCTTCAATTTGAATTAGCAAGAGCTATGTCTCCTTGCATAATCTGGATTCCAAATATTCATAATCTGGATGTGAATGAGTCAAATTCCTTATCTCTTGGTCTATTAGTTAACCATCTCTCAAAGAATTGTGTAAGAAGTTCTACTAGAAATATTCTTGTTATTGCTTCTACTCATATTCCTCAAAAAGTGGATCCCGCTCTAATAGCTCCGAAAAGGTTGAATACGTGTATTAAATTACGAAGGCTTGTTAATCCACAAAAAAGAAAGTACTTTTTTACTCTTTCATCTACTAGGGGATTTTATTTGGAAAAGAAACTGTTCCATAGTAACGGATTCGGGTCTATAACCATGGGGCCGAATATAGGAGATATTCTAGCACTTACCAATGAGGTTCTATCAATTAGTATTACACAGAAAAAATCCATTATAGACAATAATACAATTAGAGCCGCTCTTCATAGACAAACTTGGGATTTGCAATCACAGTTAAATTTGGTTCAGGATCATGGGATCCTTTTATATCAGATAGGAAGGGCTGTAGCACAAAATTTACTGATAAGTAATTGCCCCGTAGATGCTATATCGATCTATCTGAAGAAGGAATTATGTAATGAGGCGGATTCCTATTTGTACAAATGGTACTTCGAACTTGGAAGGAACATTAAAAAATTTACGATACTTCTTTATCTTTTGAGTTGTTCTGCCGGATCGGTTGCTCAAGATCTTTGGTCTTTCCCCCGAGATGAAAAAAATGGGATCACTTCCTATGCACTCGTTAAGAATGATTCTGATCTAGTTCATGGTTTATTAGAATTATTAAAAGTAGAAGGCTATCTGTTGGGATCAGAACAAAATTATGGATCTTCTTCTATTCTTGATCAGAGATTTCTATATGAAAACTACGAACAGGAGGATTTATTCAGTCACATAGTTTGGGCTCCTAGACTATGGCGTCCTTGGGATTTTCTGTGTAGCGAGCGGATCCTTTATGATCAAGAGGATGAGCTTCAAGAGAATGATTCAGAGTTCTTACAGAGTGAAACCATGCAGTCTAAGACACGAGATAAATCTTCCAAAGACAAAGGCTTTTTTCAAATAAGCCAATTTATTTGGGACCCTGCAGATCCACTCTTTTTCCTATTCAAAGAGCAGTCCACGGGATCTTTGTTTTCACGTAGAGAATTTTTTGCAGATGAAGAATTTTCAAAGGCGCTTCTTACTTCCCACACTTCTCAATGGGAGCATCTACTTCGATATAAAAAAACACACGATTTTATTATAAAGAAGAAGGAACAAAAGCACTTCAAATTTGTGAGTCATCGTCAGAGATGGCTTAGAAATAAGGGTTCATTTTCTAATGAATCTTTCTGTTCTAGTACTCTATCCGAGAGTTATCACTATTTATCAAATATGTTCTTGTCTAATGGAACACTATTTGATCAAATGACAAAGACTTTGTTGAGAAAAAAATGGCTTTTCCCAGATGAAATGAAAATTGGATTCATGTAACAGGGGAAAGATCGCGCGATCGCGATCCGCTGCCTAATTGCTTAAAAGAGCTCGGATCGACCAAATCGGTATTTCTATACAGATTTGATCGACCCGAGCTCTCTTCTTCTTGTTAAATTGCACATTCCAAGAGCATTCTCAATAGTATGCCTTGAAGAGGACTCGAACCTCCACGCTATTTAGCACGAGATTTTGAGTCTCGCGTGTCTACCATTTCACCATCAAGGCATCTTCAAAGTGAATCATATTGATCTATATCTAGTGCTAGTGTAATGTATGGAATGGAATAGATACCAAAGTTCGAGTATTCATAGTATTTTTTTATAATATTTATCTATTTTAATTTTATATATAGGGCCTATCATATAGGCCCGAGTTAGGTATCCAACTGCTTCTATGTTTCAGTATCCGAAGAATATTTTATCTATATCAAAAAATATCCAAAAAATGGACAATCAAACCTATTTCTCGATTCTTTACAAAACAAATAGAGCAAATAGAAATATTTTAAAATGAAAGTCTCATTACGTTTATTCCTATTCCTAAATTGAATGGAATAACGGAGGGATTAGGAATCCATATCAATACATTTATTTAGTTTATTTAGATACGTTTTTAAAATTCTAAGTTCATAATCCTATTGGTCTATCCATATACTAGGTAGGAGTGAAAACGAAAACATTTTGGAGTTACAAATACAAATAGAATTTTGAAATACTTAGCACCACATCAAAACATTCTTACTAAAGCTTCTTTATATTTAATGTACTATAGGGATAGAGAAATGAATACAGTTCAATATAGTCAAATAAGAAATTGAAAGGTTTCGTTCAATTTGTTTGTTTGGAAATTGATTGAAAAGCTAAGAATTGGGTCGTCTTTCCATCGGAACAATAGGCCATTATGCTCATTACTAAACTTGTTGAAGAGATGAAATCTAACCAAGGTATTATCTTTTTTATAAAATGAAGTTTTCATTCTGTATATCTCCTAGCTCATGAATTAGTAACTGCTTCCAATTAAAATAAAAAAAAGTGCCAATTGCATGGTATTCACACGAGGTTCCTCTTTAAAAAAGTCCCCGAGAGAGTTTAGTTTATTCCTGATTTATGTGTCAATTTTTCGAAATCAATTTATATTACTTGTGATTATTTACTTTTTCTCTTGATTCTTTTCCAATTAAGCTGGATAGACCAGACCAGACCCTCAAACTCTATTCATGGATTAACGAAAATGCGCAAAAGCTCTATTTGACTCTGCCATTCTATGAGTCTCTTCCTTTTTGCGTATGGCAGCGCCACTCCCTTTGGCAGCATCGACTAATTCGGAACTTAATTTGAAAGCCATATCTTTTCCTGGACGTTTTCGGGATGCCGCTAATAACCAACGAATCGCAAGTGCTTTTCCTTGTGTGGATCCTATTTCAACGGGAACTTGGTGAGTTGATCCACCTACCCGTCTTGCTTTGACTGTTATATCGGGAGTGACTCGACCTATTGCTTGACGTAAAACGGATAGTGGATTTTTTTTTGTCTTTTGTTGAATTTTTTTCACGGCTCGATA